AGAGCAAACTTCTTACCCTGTTTCTTTTTGGCTTCTTATCTAATTTGTCATCAATGATGAGGATTATTGAGAAGAAGCGGTTTGAAAGTAGAATGAGCATTATCAGAAGTAAAAATAAGCGGGCGCGCCATCGAAGTTTGAACTGCTGTGAACCTTCTCGTTTTTATGGTTTATTTATGGTTTCTAGCATTTCTTTGTGAGCTATGGAGCTGCATCCCCTGATGCTTGTGATAGGGAGCTTTTCAGAAGTGAAATGAGCGCAATCTGATTTAGTCTAACGCGTTGTGCATCAGGATGCCATTACCGTTTCATTTATCCTCATCTCGTTCCCTGATATACTTGGTGATTCTCTGGCAGTACACTCAAAGAAGTATTTGCGGGTGGGAGAACTTGAAGGCAACCTTATCGACTTGACAACCCTATCGATTTCCCTAGAAGGTGTTGGTTTTATAAATTAATCGGTGGTATATCGTGGCTGTGTCCTTGTGGATGCACGGAATGCTGGAATATGGGTTCATGGAGATTGATAAAAGGCAGGAGTATTCGGAATTTTGTGCCACAACCGGTACAATTTAGCAGCGGGTTACCCTTTTCTTTTTATTCTTGTAAATGTTTCATTGATGAATTCGAAAACACTCTCAATGATAACGTTCACGAGGTCTCTGTTGGTTTAGTTGTACTCGTAGCTTCGAGATTTTCTGTGACATTGACTACAACGGGATCGCCAACTCGTTTCGAGAGTACTCTTTTTCACAGGCATCATCGAAGGGCAATTGTGGAGATGATTGGCGCTTCCGTTGCTCCTGATGAACTCAATTTCACTGCCTCAGTAATAGAAGATGAAACGAAAAATTACCATGCTTGGCAATACAGGTTGGTCCTTTTTATTTTTGCGATGGTCACTACGGCACTATTTTTCTCTGGAACACACAAGAACCCTGCATCGGACAGTCTTTCATAATAAGTAAAAATCGTTGGCTTATGAGGTCTCACATCGAAGGTTTAACTTCTTTTTATTAGGTTTTTTTCGTTTGTGAAGCGCCTGATTTATGAAGGACATTGTGCTTAGAAGGAGGCATAGTAGTATTAGCCCTGCAAGGGACTCGATCATTTATCCTTCAAGCTAATTGAAAGCGTAGTTACTGGTGGTACCAAAATCATGACCTCGATGCCCGCGCAGAAGGATGCCCACTTGGAAGGGAACCTATGTCGTTTTAAAATAGTTGACAAGTTCAGGTTGTTACTTAAGTTATGTCGTTTTTTTTCGAGCTGAAAAATTTCCCGTTAGATTCGGTGTTAACAAATTATGTCGTATAGTATCCAAAAGGTATTAGCCTGCACTACAAATTGGTATGTTTTGCTTCGAAAGTAGTTGTACTTTTGGACCGATCTCATTTTTGCGATGTGAAAGCTCAAGTCTATGAAGATTTGCCGACTTCGAAGTTTTTTCTACTGAAAAAACAGTGACGTACCATTTACTTTAATATTACCTCATCTGAACGTTTTGCTTGTGGGTTGTTCTCCGACAATTATTTTTTCTCCTTAAACCCGGCTTTCCCAACGAAGTTTAAAGCTTCATAAGGGAGTGAAAATCGGCTTTAGCAAAAATACAAGACATTGTTGTATCCTAATAGTGCAGAAAGCGAAATTTTTCAACGTGCAAAATAAGGATGGTAAATTCTGGTTGGGTAGGGTGGCTGTGCTTCCAAAGCCTTATGAAAAATCAATTTTGAACAGAAACGAAAGAGCTTACCAGTCAGTTCAATGATGAAATGTTAGAAGAGGTCGTGCATGGAAGTAAGACACATCATTGGTCATTTCAGGCAATCGATTCTGCGAAACTATGTGTTCGTTGGAAATGATATTGAAAAGGCGATAGAAGCTGAACTTTCGTTCTCTGCCAAGCTCATATTTGAAGATGCTCGTAATAATTCCGCCTGGAACAACAGATACTTCGTATTACAGTGTACAAACAAAATCGCAGATCCGACCACGGTGGACAGTGAGATAAGGTGATAATAATCTGCTGCTATCTGACGTTTTGTTCTCTTTACTGCCATCTTTCAGTCTTACGAAGCGTTTCATAGAGAAGATGCCAAACAATGAAAGCGTGTGGAATTACTTGGCCGGGTAAGTGGTCATTTACATTGCGCTGAATTGTATTCTTGGATTGTAATACATGGCATGCACAACTAAGGTTACTGCTCGAGTCTGGAGTGTCTTCTCGACCTGATGTCGTTGCGTATGTAGAAGACCTTTACGAGAGAACAGAACCATCTAAACGAGCGCCTTATATGGTCTGCTAGCCTCGACTTTTTCCCAGTCATAATTTCGAGTGTTATTTCCTTCATGTCAGGTTTCTTTCCTGTGCGACATCCTACTGGAGAATATTGAAAATGACGTGAATGCTGTCGATAATTGCAAAAGAGCAAAAGAGGTGTGTGATTCTATTATAATTAGCTGGCTGGTGTTTCACTTCATGTCTGATGATCGTATGCAAATGTCACCTGTATCACCAGTTGTCTCTCGTTAATCACCGATTTGCTCGAGCAGGCGCTGGTATCTTTTTCGTTCTTCCCTGAGCAAAGGTAGTCCAGTTGGTCCTTTTCGCTTGAGGGACATCAAGCAAATCATTCCTTTCGTGAAGAAGTCTGACCGTCGCCCCAACGGTTGTTCAGATGTTCGTTTGACGTTCTGAGGGATCCAGTCAGTGAGCGCCCAAGTCCAGCGCTCGCACGGCATTNATTCGGACTCCCTACTGTCCTTGCGTGAAAAAGGAAACAGTGAGCATAGTCCTCTCACCATCGCGTTTATTAGAGTGCTGCATGCTCGTAGTGCTTGCGTAGAGTTCAAGTCTCAGACAGTGTTGCCCCTAGGTCAAAGCAAAAAAAACCGCAGTGTCCTGAAAATATAGTCTGAGGTGATTTTCCCGTTAGGCGTAAAAGGGGTATCAAATAGAAATCCGTTTCTCCTAGACATCGCCCTCGTTAGGTTCAGTCGTAACCCGTCTTTTGACAAGCGTTGTCGAACTCGGCAGTATTCGTTCCCACTACTCCATAATCGCTATTATTATCACGATGTGATCTGTGAAGCGAGGTGATGTATGTAGTGGCCGGTATCCCCAGACGAACCCTCTCTTTGCATTGACAATTCCCTTGTAGGACGGGGAGAGATCTTGTTCATGTAGTTATTGTAAAGCTCATGAATTATATAGGGTACCTGTTTACCTCTTCAGCCCTGCAGATCATTTTATCCACTAGCTGATTCCTCTTCTTTATTCCCGGCCGTCGTTTGCTTCCTCCATAACTTGAATAACTTTATCTCCCCTGAACTAATCATCCCTTCGCACATTGCAGGTGCAGACCGCTATCGTGGTTCTTTCCCTTCAAGGCAACATGTCATGATCTTTCTAGCTCGAGCGGTCAACGTTGCCGTGGTATTGGGGGCTCCCTCAGGATAAGGTGAATGTCGCTCTTGTAGATTAGTGTTTGGGATATAAATACCCATGAGTAGCCTGCCAGGCTCTGACGACGGAACTGGGTTGACATCAGAATGCAAGCCTTCAGCTGAGCCGATGTTACATCAGCCATGAGACAGAAGGTATCAATCGACCCAGTACTGCAGTAACAAGGAGCCCATCCCCCGAATGAACTTGCACCTTTGAGCAATTAGTGGTGTTTTTTCTCCATGATTAACTCCCCAATCCATCGCCTGCGGTCGCGCCACTCATCCTCTCCACAAACGAGCTAGAGATCCGTGAAGGTTAATTCACTCAAGTGAACTATTGTAATTCTTTCAAAATACTGCTATCTTTGAGCGCTTTTCTTTAATTCTTTAAGAACACTCGAGATTTTTCTTTCCTGCTATTGCAAGACTTTGGTTTCTCTCTCAACGTACATTCGCAGAGGGAGTATTGACTTCTTATTTAGTTCCTAACTTGTATCTTAATTATGATGACAATATTTTTTGATACTCTCCTTTGAACGGGTGATATTCGGATAATAATTACATTATTTAAGTTGTACAACGAGCTCATATCCTTGGATCCAACACGAGCAAATTACTGGAAGCATCAGATAAAGGTCGCGGACAATTTGTTGGAAAGGCGATCCTTCAAAACGGTTGCGAAATAATCCAAGACATTCAAAGGAGCATTTGTTTTGTGATCATTTGAAATGCAATCATGCCCGGTTCTCATCTTTCTTCTTGTAGATTTGAAATGTTTTTCTGTTGTTCGTTTCTGAAATAAACATGGTGCTTACTCGCTCCATTGTTATTGCCGAATTCGGAGTTATTACTTGAATGTTTGAAGAGAAGAAATCGTAAAAAGACTTAGAATTCTTTTTAGCATGGGATTAGGCTTAGATCATAAAGTGCTGGTTGTTCTCGATCATGGTCCACGCTTCGCGAAAAAAGCTGGAAATGTAAGTCTATGTCTATCTACATTGTTTGATTTTTTTTAAATGCTGTTTTAAGCCGCTTTCCATCACCCTCAAGGAGTCTAGCGTGAATCGCACAGTACGTTTTTTAAAAATGTAGCTTTCTGTCCCCTTGCTTGTGGGTTCAGTTAATAGTTCCAGGTTGGAAAGTGTGATAAATCTCTTTGGACTTGGTGTGTCGAAGCGACGCTCGAACTTCATCGAACTGTCTCTGACCTTTTCTCTGAAGAACGGGACCCCAGCTCTGCCCGCCTCATGCGTCTTGTTCTCGCTGATTTCGTTGGTAGAGTGCTCCAGCCACGATGGGGTACTCAGCTCGTAACGCAACAAGAGGTGCGGTTGGTGTCAATGGTGTAGTTTTTTTTATTTCTTTTGCAAGCAAGTCTTCATTAGTTCCTACTAAAGCCGGAATTAGGCGGGGTTGGTGGCAGGGCTAAGTGGCGCACCGCCACACACATGATCTGCGATTCGAATTCCATATTAGTAACCAATCAGATCTCAATGAGCTTTCCATCATTGCGGAGTCGTTTGATTGAAACCAGTCTCGTTCGGGAGGATAGAAGCGCCAAGTTCGATATCGTCTAAACCTCACAAGTTATTTCATGGCCCACACCTCGTATTTGCAAAGCTATATCGAGCCTGAAAATCTCTTCTCTCTTCAAAACTTGATTGGTTAATCGCAGAGGACTTCAAGCCTAATGATACCCGAGTTGTTCTTTTATCATGCCAATTCGTTGAGCAACTTTTGACTTTTCCATTAGGCTCATGGGTTTCGATGAGGATTTGTTTTACGGTAAGTATGCGAAAAAGACGCTTTATTTGGAATTTATTGCTGAAGCTTCATATAACGTTTTAGCTCTTGGCATCCCTATCGGCTATTGGTTTGCCCTCTACCAATGACGAAGGAGAAAGTCTAGCTTTGAGTGGCGTCACTCTGGCTATAGAAGCTCTGAGTCAATTGAGCGAAGCTCAAATGAAAGGAGAGAAGAGTGAAGCTTCGAGTGAAAGTGAGAATTTCTATTATGATTCCTTTCCATTCCTTTTCAAAGTCCTTCCATATAATTAGTCTGAACCTGAAATCCTCAACCGTCACGACGCATCGAAGGGCAATAACATGGGGCGGATGGGTGAGTAACTAAGGGCTCTGTTGCATCATGATCTCTCGTTCCAAAATCCGAAGCCAGACGACTGTGAGAACCAGGATTGCGCACTGAATTTTTGTTTTGTCATGAGCGGCACCGACGTTCCGGTGTGCAGAGACTGGCTACACATAGCTCAATTAGTACGGACTTATAGGGGGTAACAAGCGATGATTTATAGGAATGGGGTTGTTAAGAAAACTGGTAAACCATCAAATTTTTCAGACTTCATTGTGTGCTTTATATTCACTGTATCGTCGTCTAAGGCGACGATCACCTCACCCCAACTATCTCGCCGTCTCACTGTCTGAGACGGCTAACTCTAGCTTAACTCACGCCCCTAAAAGGTACGGGGTCAAGCGGCCCCGAGATAAGTGGGTCCGGTATTCTACCTCCAACAACGTCAAGGGCGACACGTAGGTTTTGACTTAGATAAAGACTTATTTGCCATTCTTCTGTTCTTTACTAGCGGTAACGTCCGCGCTCACTATTTACTTGTTCTTTCTACTCCGAGTTAACCGGAGTATATAAAATCCACTGAACCGCCAGCACACACTGGTTTCGCGATTCAATAGAAAAGTAAAACAATTTTAGGGGGGAGAGCAGTGCGAATAGTGATTTTGAGCAATACAAGTAGTGGAGGTCGATGGAACCCCCCACCCTTCCTGCTAGAGAGGCATTGTGCTTCTGCCGATCATAATCTAAAGTTTAACGTTGGAAATTTTGAGATGTTAAAACAGCTAAACCACTTTTTTGTGTCCTCGTTTCTATTTCAAAGCGGTATTAATTGCGCTTTCCCACCTTCTGGGTCTGTTCTTATCACTGCGAATATTTCCAATGACTTCTTCTTTTAAATTCTTCATCGATCCGTTTTCAGAAGAAAGCAGCGTGGTCAAAGAGAGGAGCAATTTCTCTCGTGTTCCGAAGTGTTGGGATGGTCCTTCGACGTCGACGATCCCTTCAGAATCAGATCGGAAAGTGGTGGAGAACTGTGGTTCGGTTGTAGTCTTTACAGCATACACTCAGTGGGTTTTTCATGTTCATTTTTTGAAATGAGGTTTCTATTCAAAAACCAGTTTTTTTCAAGAGATGAGCAGTTAACTGAATTGGAGAATGAGGTAGCTGATATGATAAATAGTCGAAATAGGATTATCAAATCCTTGCAGGATAGCACGTAGGTTTATATTGAGTCTATCACAGTGTTTTGAATATCTTGCCGATTTCTCGTGCAAAGCGTTTTCAGATTCTCTTGCTTAAATCATGTCAAGCTTTATATTATCAATGTGTATCCTGCCGACCAACCTTCCCAAGTCACGTCAAAATCTTTCAGAGAGGTAATGGTTAAATTTTATTCGGTGTAATGTAATAGTGAATCCCAACTTTTTTTCGTGCGATTCTCGAGGTTTTCCCTTCAGTACATCAACAAAGAACACCTTTTCTTTTTAGTGTTCCATTCTTGTTACTCTTTCCATTTGCATGACAGCCTGTATTTCAGATTTCGAGCGCGATGTCATCATGTATACTTTCACGTTCAGCTGGTGTTGAATTGATTTCTGCTATTCATTCTGTGGCAATAGATATCTATGATCTTGTCTCTACTACAGTTTCTGGAATTCCTATGAAGGTTAGCGTTTTTTTTTCAAAAACCCATACCCTGTGCCACCTGTTATTGGTCGTGAAGTTTCTCGAGTGGACGGGTTCAGTCTCTTTCGTCCTTGTCGTAAGCCGATATATTCGAATTGAATTTAGATATCGTCATTAAAGGAATAAGCATGGAACTAGTGGCGGTAGACCTTTTTTCCATGTCTTCATACTCTAACTGGCCCATGTCGTTCTTGAGAGCGGCACTGAGAAGTTTGTCCGTTCTCCGGTGTGATCTTTTGCGGAGTGGTGAGATCCCCCAATCGGTTTGCTGAAGGGCTCAAGAGTATTTCCATTTTTTCCTCTCTAGAGAGAAGCTGGCTGCCCAGGTTATGAGTAACTGATTTTGTCTCTACGGAGTTGGATGCGTCCCTCAAATTTATGAAATGGTTTATCAGGTCGAGAGTTTGAGAAAAACGCGTCGCACGCAAGTTTCATGAGCTCCTAGCAAAGAAGCTCGATGGCGGGTTGCACTAACCATCGATGTTCTCGATAACAGATTGCCAGATTGCCATAAACTTGCGCGAGAGTTTTTGTTTTTAATGTGATGTCTCTTTCTCTTCTGTCTCTGTCTCTCAAGAAAGCGAGGCGTTATGTGGAGGGGACGATTGATTGTTTCCATGTTTATGTTAAACTATTTTACTGTTTTGTAATTGGGCCTCGTTGAACACTGCAGGACTTCCAAGTCTATCCAGGATGACGCTTCTTTCACAGCGAATTGTTGTGGATGAAATCGGCTAGTGGGGTCAACGCTGCCAGTTTTCGCGTTTGATTATTTTTCGTAAGCTCTAGTTGCGTCCATCATTCCAAAATGTTCTTTTCTACAGGAAGAAGCTCAACAGGGACAGCCTGCTGTTGCGATAAATTATGACGTAGAATTACTACACAGAAGAGAGGCTCATGCTGAACTTGAGCGGCTAGGGCTTGTTACGGCGAACAGTGTAGAAGGTAATTCTTTTTCATTCTTTTCCAGCTTGAAACAAGGTCAGGTCAACAGGGAAAAAAACTATGTAGGGCTTGCTGAGTAATTGACTATATTCACATGTAAAAGCATAAAAAGACTAAAGTCTTGAGGCGCTAAACTAAAGTCTTGAGGCGCTAATCAATCCTGTCTGAGGGGTGTACCCACGCATTCGTCTTCCATTCAGAATCATAGTGGCGTATTGAACGCGTGTGTGGCGCGGTGACCAGCCGATGTACAAGTCAGTGCTTTTAACCTCCCAGACGAGTCTGATACCAACTAACGACTCGACGAACGACGGGAAGACGGGACGGAAGGCTTGGTTGGTCTAAGCGGATATCGATCAGGGCTTCGAACCCGTGACCATGTGTGTGATGTGCGCCATTGCCGCTACACCGCCTCCGCCCCACTTACAAGTAATAGGACAAGTAAGTGTCACATTCTCTCTGGGCTTTCTTCTGTCATTTCTGGAAATCTACTGGAAAAGTTACAGAAATGGCAGAAGGTTCAGATGGAGAACGGGTACAGGAGAGTGTGCAGGACCACTGAAGTTTAGGAGTAAAACTTCCGCTGACAGTAGAGAGTAGTGGACCAGGCTTACAACGTGAAATTGTTTACTTAGGATGCCCACTGGTATCTTTTGCGACCAAGAAGCTCAAAGGAGTAGTATACCGAGCAGTAATTAGACCCTCGATGTCCTACGGCAGCTAGCGCCGGCTCGTAAGCAGGAGCATAAAACAACTTTCGTGGAATTGAGGATGCCCAGGTGTGATTGGGCAGTTTGAAAAATCAGAAAAGAGGACGTCAAGGCTATGTAGTTCCTGTTAAGAGAAGATGAGAAAGCAGCGTTTGCGATGGCATGGACACGAACTGAGAAGGCCGCAGAATTATCTGATCCGGACAGCAATTGAGTTCAAGTGTAAGCGAGGAGCTCGAGTTATTCAGAGAAGAGATGGCGCATTGTGATTAAGAAGGACGTCGAGAAAACAAAGTAACGGCGGAAGTTGTTATAGACGGGAGTCGAGACAACTCACAACTTTGCAAGATCAGCGGACACGGGGCTGCGGCTGGCAGGATTAACGCTCGCATGTAGAAGACTTTTCAATAGATGCAGATGAGCGGTCTCCTCGTTGCTGCGCAATTTTTCTTCTGGAGGATCCAGGTGGTGCTGAAGCGAGGTCGATATGCTTGAACCAGTTCCGAGCTGTACTGTGGTTGGGGCAGAAATTCCCATCCGAGTTCCAAGATTTTCTGAAAAGTTCTATTGGTGTGGAGGTGCGCGTTATCATGTAGCAAGCAAACTTTGTCTAGATTTGAATGCTCCACTCGTTTCTGCCCAACGACAGTTGAGTGTGGCAGATGTCGGCAGTAAGTATCTGGCAGTAACTCAAGGTAGTACATTTCATAAACATTAAACTCTGAGCATGACCTTTTTTCATGAGTGACACCTTATACCAGGATTTTCGGCCGTTCATTGTTCCCATACCAGGTAGGCTTGGGGTTATGCTCGACGTTGAAGACCCGTTTTTCATGTCCAGTAACGGTGGTGTATAGCCGATGACAGGTGCGATTTTGTGGGAGCAGCTGAGTGTCTCGGGCGATTGCAGTCAGTCTGTTCATGTAGTATACATTGATGGAGCTCTTTCACCTCTTTGTGAGATGCAGACCACTGGCCACTGTGGTCTCTGAAAAGTGGCAGCGAAATATCGCATCCCTCCATAAAGGTGCTGTTTCACTTTCTTCAAATTCAGGTCGAAAAACTTTCAAACCTCATTCATTTTTGACCAGGCGTCGTTTACGTAAACCAATCCAAGGTGGTCAAAGTTGTGAGCTAGGTTGAGTCACCGGCATAGATAATAGGGTGTCCAGTTGTCGAGAGTCATGATATTAAACAAATAATTAAATATTGCTTCTGATCCATTCGATATGAAGCGATACATTACAATTCTGATATCATTACTAATATGCTATCTCATCCAGTGAAATTATTGCATAGTTTTGCATTTGCATTTGCATAATTCGTACCCTGTCGGGACCACTCTCCCTAGATACAGACATAATGCACAATTATTTTTAGCCGTTTAATTATTATATCAGTGGGTTCGAAAATCCTTCATTGATTTTCTGACCTTGTACCATCCACTTTGTCTTCTGCGTTTTTGGCTCTAATGCACTGACCTGAATGGAAAAGCTCAATATTTCCTTTCTGTTTTGTATAATGGAGATTCGACAATTTCACTCAGTTGCAGATGTGACAGGTTCACTGATGGTGTTTTCGGGTAATGCGACATATCCTACTACACGCCTAGTATGGGCAACCCCAGTTCCGAAAGGGCGATGGAATATGGTCAGTTGCTTTCTTTGTTTCTTACGAATTTCTTCTCAGTGGTCGATAAAACTTCGTTCTCATTTTATTTTCCACGCACACGGCACGCCTCCACTGTGACTCCGTCGGCTGTGAACAGTCGTCCATCGGTGTGCTTGTCGTCTTATCTTCTGCAGGGACGTAATGTGATGCTGGAAATTAATGTTAGTTCAATAATTTCAAGTCGATTCCAATATTCATGTGTGTATGTATGTACATACAGTATCGCTAAAAAGTCTTCGGCCAAATGCTTCTCCAGCCACACTTTTTAGTCAAAACTCCGTTCCTACTAGACCTAATGAGGCGAAATCTCGATATGTGTAGCATGGGTGCACTGCACAGTTAACCTACAGTCTGATCATGTCCAGATATCCTAAAGAGCTTGAATCAAAATCAACACTGGTACTTCTACGATTTCTTTTCTTTTTGCCATGTCTGAAGTGTACGAGCGCTAATGCTGAACTCAGTAGAGGAGAAAAACGCACCTATGGTGCGAATAACTGCACCAACTCTACTTTTAGCGAAATCTCCTACTGCGATAACACCTTGTTTTCAGTTGTGTGGATATTGCTGCTTTGCATCAAATAGTGTTGGATAATGTGAAGTATGCTTCAGTTAAACATATCAAAATTCCGCGCGGTTTGCTTCACTGAGAAAAAAACTTGTGAACGAAAGAGCGTAAAAGCGTTAGGCCGTTTGAGCGCTACTGTATGTACGTATGGTATGATATGGTATGGTATGGTATGGTATGGTAATGTATGTATGTATGTATGTATGTATGTATGACTGTATATATGCGTATATTTATATGTAATTCATTCTAAGAACATTAGCCTAATGAACATTTATGCTGCAATACATGGCATTCTAGCATGTCGCGAAAAGTGAAGGTTTGCTTGGAAACGTTGGAGCGAAATTGATTGCTCATACGCTGATCGCTCATGGAGGCCATATTTACATTCATGCAAACGACCTGGGACCTCACAGTTCGTTTCTTCTTGTTTCAGTCCTTAGATTACATATTTGTTAGTTTTTGCTCGATCTGTTGAGACACGATCTCCTTTTTCCGAGATATTTCTTTGAACAGAGCAAGCAGTGCTCCCACCTTCCCCGACATTTCGTTGAAAACTGTTGTGGAATTGTGCAAAATCGAGTCGAAAGCACTTCCTTAGTTATTCGTACGATAATTACAGAATTGTTGGACGCTCAGGATGTGCGTGAGAAGATGAAATTGAAAAGAACAGCAAATGCTCGCATATCTGATTTCATTTCTCTAATGAAAGAGTCAACCCTGCGCATGTCGAATGATGTGGACAAAAAAGTGGCGCTCCCGGTCAGTACTATTAGATGATGGCTTGCTACTTTTTCATTTATTACCAGTCGAGTCTCCCGGTTGTTGCCTACGTCCCGTCGTAATTTGGACCCTCTGGTACAATAAAACATACAAAAAAAATTTTCGGCCAAGTACACACACATGCACAACACACTTCGTGAGCGACTCGCCATGCCCGCCCGGAGGTCTGCTCAACTCATGTGTGTTTTAATGAATCGGTCCATTCCCATTTTTTTCAACCTCGCTGTGCAAATTCATTGAGATTACGCTCATTTTACGCACGCTCCCCCCTCGAGGGCAGAGACTTGTCCTATCACCTAACATAAGTGATCCCATCCTGTATCCTGTTTTCCTACCAAATTTAAGCGCTTTAGGCTCAAATCAACATTTCGCACAAGCCACGCCCCTCACCGGCGGAGTCATCTGGGGTACGTGGACTAACGTGCGTCGGAGGACGTGCGCTGCAAATTGCGCGGCGGAGTTCATAACGATTTTAACGACTCTAGCGCCTATCATTGGGGCCCAAATTCGAAGTATAGTAGAGTGAAGGATCATCTGACCCTAAACTACTCTCCTTCGAGTTTGTGCCTCGAAAATTGGCGACAGGGTCGTACAAATCGCCACGAATTTCCCCACGCAAGTTGCCGCGCGCATTCTCGGACCCCCAGTCATCTGTCGTAAGTGTTCCCATCCTGTTACCTGTACTCCTACCGCTCTAGGTCAACGGAAATGGGAGTTATGAATTTCCGCCTAATTATTTGTTTGGCGTAGGCCCGCCAATTGTTGGCGGGGTCCAATCTTGCCACCTGTTCGTTTCAGCGAAACTCATAGTCAACTCGAACGCTCTAGGTCCACGGGAACAGAAGTTATGAGTTTCCCTACAAACATTTACTGCGCAAATCCCCCCGCCTGTGGGCGGGATCAGGTCAACCACCATAAGTGTTTTCATCCTGACTTCTGTAAAACTGTTACACTTGAAGGCTCCATTTTCAATGGGGCAGGAGTTATGAATTTCCGGTCATTGGAACACACACATACACACACACGAACACACTAACAGACACACTCAGTGGGTTGTATAAACAGTATCTCAAATCTCGCTTGTGTTTTTTTCTCAAATTAGTCATGATCCGATGAAGAGGGTTACTGTACTAGTCCATACTATTGTACGTTGGCTAACATTAATTAGCCAAATCACTTTTTGAGTGCTTATTTCAGGCCACGAACGTGTTGTGCGCTCAACCACGTCGCCACCTTCTTCGTGTTACGCGGTACTGGCCTTTACGTTTCGATCGGACATTTATTTATAATATCCCGAAAGTGAGTTATCAAACATTTCAACCCTAAAATTATGGACACATGGATACATCATTTTATAGCAACTCGTAAGATGTGTTCAAAGCCAATTTAGCTTATCCTTATCTGGGGCGATTTTGTGCCATCAATGTCAAAAATATTCGAATCTTTCATCTGGGATTCTCTTTCACCGCATTTGAAGGCTTTTTGATAAGTCTTATGATCTGCGAAGGATTCGGGTCTTCTTCGAAACTCGTATCCATCATTTTAGCCTTTTCGTTATTATTTATGGGAAGAATATGAACTCGTACCTCTTGACCTTTGCCAACGGTTGAGCTGAAGCACTATTATAAGTGAGTTCTGGGGATGTCAGAGGAGCATCACTCTTATATCAACATGAAAGCTCTTGATGAATAACTCAGCTGATCACAGTTCCTGTAAGAGATGTTGGGTCATGTTCTCATTCGTGAAATGTTTATTTTTTGTCATTTGAGTGGTTCACGATAGATGTCAAGCAGATGTAATCCGCTGAATCTGTCACCTTCGTATTTGCACTATTGTTTCCTTTCACAAAACAGTTCCACGAAGTTGCATGTTACTGGGTTGAATCGGCAGAATCAGATGGTCCAAAAGTTGTTACAGTAGGCTTTTACCTTTCTCTTTCTCTAGAATTAACCTCCAATTCTTTTGAATACCGGTGAATGGTGCGATCACCATTCGCCATCTTACCAAATGACCTCCTGGTTGGGAATCCTCCTTCATTGCCCTCATCAAAACGAATTTATGCTATAACATGGTCTCTGATTACTTGTGGCGCCGCTTGTTGAAGGTCTAATACTGCCGGTCTTCAAAGAGAGCGATTCGCTCAATCGCTCACTAGAAGCATTCCCCCTTCCTTGGTTACCACTCTACCGAGGTGTGCAGTGCTTCTGCTGTTTTGGAAGGAATGCACCACCGGCTTCAATCCTAGTTGTTGTCTGTATGTACTGAGCCCTACCATCTAGCCAAAGCTATCTATTAATGTCGGAGCTAGAAATAAACATGTTAAAAAGAAGCTAATCCAAATCTAACTTATCGTCGTATCCGCAGCCTAACAATGCGGAATAGCTTCGGATTGGTCACATTTTTTCAAGCAATTTGACGTAATGTTGTTTATGGTAAAAACTCGCTTTTATAATTTAATAAAATTTGATTTATTCATATCGCAGAAACATTGAAGAATTCCCTGTAAGCGTTTTTAAAAGAACTATCTTTTGATCTACGAGCTTTTCTCTTCAAATCGATTCTGTTGAAGAATCCCACCTTTCTGAGGCGCAGTTTGTCATATTTATGGCCTAAAATGCAAACTCTTTCTAGCTAAATTTTCATTCCAATCTTGACGTTCTGTGTGTGAGAACTGCCTTCGACTATCTGTTGGAATGAGCAGGATTAGGAGGTTAGTGTTATTAATCTGAGGCTTTCAGCGGTTCGATGCTTTCTTTACCATCATGAGACAACCACAACTATCCACCGTTGATGTCGACAAATGCAAGCAGGTTGGCTTTTGAACTCCCTATAAACCTGTTTTATAATGTACAGAATCATGTTGAGGTTATTCATCAATTGGTGGCACTGAAGGATTCCAAGGAAAGGCTTCTAGATGGTTATGTTGCTACGCGACTGTTGACGGATTCCAACTCAAGGTATAGCCATCTTTAATTCTCAGCTTGGACATTCCACAGAACGCCAGCTTTTCTTTGAGGCACAAGAACATCAAAGTATCAAGCGTTTCTGCAATCTGAATAGTCTGTCACTCATGATGGAACATTGTTCAGAGGACCAGATATCGACAGTGTTGTATCGATATCTGGCTCACCAGTCATCTATCTATGCTCTTTTATCTCTCCATTTTATTGCATTTGGAACCTTGTTTTGCTGACAATCTGCTCCTGCGATTTTTTGATTTTGTTAACAGAGTCCAATCCTCAGTTTCTGGCTTTTCAAGATTCAGCAGGGGAAACAGAGCATCCCAAAAAAACAGGGATAAAAATTTCAATCGAAAAAGGAGTAGTCGTCTGTAATTGGTGACGCCCACCGATCATCTATTGCTTCACAACGTTCGGACCACGATAGGCCCAACCGATACCTCAGTAAATGAACCTAACCCAGAATCTTCCACTCGATGTTCAGCATTTTTGGTGGTTCGGTCGTAGCAAACCGAAGACTCGTATATGAGACAAAAATTAGGCGGTGGTCGCAGCTCATTGTCTTGTTCCAGAGATGAACAACTGCAAGTGTGTTTTGCGGAAATTGCTCGTCATTTGGCTAATTACGCGAATCATTCCGAAAAACATAACGAGGTAATTATACAGATTTTGAAAAGTTCTCTGTTTATAGTCTTGACATTTATCTTCACTGTGATTGTCTTGAATTATTTGGAGAAAGATCTACATTTGCGCACCTTATAGGTGTTCCACTTCTTCGTGCAATCTGCTGGAATAGAGCGCAATGTAAAGATACCTTCATCTGATGTTCTAGTGACAGATCGAATTCAGTCAGTTTTCAGTGATTACGATTTGTTTCACTTTTGCAGAGCCTGTTGGCGCAAATTCGCAAAAGTTGACTCATTTCCATTCAGTCACAATTTATTTTACCGTTCACATTCAGCTGCAAGAGACAAGAATCTTCCTGCACGAACTCGGCTATGCCCTCAGTCTCTGTCACCTCGTCAACTGCTTCTGATATGAGGAGTTCGAATCGCAGCGATTCTCCTCTGCCTAAGAAACCAAGAAAATCATGCTACCTGTGGAAGCCGAATGGTTTGTCTTTTCGTTAGTTTTTTTTGGATGAGAGTAGGTAAGTAGCTGTGATGAGGACATTAGTCAAGGGTGGCGGATTGCGCATTACTCGTTCCCTCATTTGTGGGCATCAGGAGTCGAGGATTGAAGGCGTAGGAAAGCGCAGACTTGTTGCGCAGATCGCCAGAGTCAAGAGGCGAGAGTAGAAAGCCATGTTCTCATCGTTACTTTTCGTGAGCTGGTTTCGCTTGCGATTCAGTCCCAATGTGGGTGTGACTTGGAAAAAAAATTTTCCCAAATATTTGCAAATATCAGTAAGCGCCTCACGGGTTACTTCTTTTTTTGATATTTGTGCGCATGAACTTTTAATTACAGAAGTTATAAAATGGCTTGAGGTCAGCAAGGCAGAACCACACCCTTTTTTCGGGTCGATTCTCCAAATGTAGTGTAGTGTAGTGAACTCTTGATCAACGAGGCAAACATAGGGCTCATTTTCAAGGAGCAGGGATGTTCTTTCGCTCTGAATAATATATTTCATTTAGAAACGTTGAATTTATTTGATTATCTCATGGAGAAGGAAGAACGTCAACATCGATCTCAGTGGGTAGACTTTGTTGGTCGGGTGAAAGCGGGCAACCGCCCAGCAAATCTCTATCCTAATCTCGAGTCCGCAGCAGTGTCTACTAAGCAGGATTAACTGCTGCTATCAGCTGCACCAGAGCAGTGGATCAACAAATAACATTTTTCAATTTATTGTATGTAAAATGAGTCTTTTATAACAATGAAGCGGATTTTATAGAAGTATCTGAAGTATCTATATTTGTGGTACGAGGTTACGTTATGGTTTTTTCTGTTTGAGATTTCTTTGAAGCAACTTTCTCTTTTATTTTTCTTTACGTCGAAGCGCCAGACTACTGATCGTTGAGACACTGTTCATTGATGAATCGTTGAACCTGGAGTCACGAACACTCGCCCACCTAGCTTTTTCAAATAAAAAAAAAATACAAAGCAGGGAGAAAGACGTTTGTACGGGAAAGGACGTACACAATTTGGCCACTCACCACGAAGTGCTAATGCAGCCAGCGACACTTTTGGGAAGGTAGCAGTCCTTTCTGACCAGCACCTGGTTACAATGCACACTATCTAAAATGATAGATTTCCTTCAGGGCAAGAAGATCTTGGAGGGACTTCTTTACGTTGACATACACTCTCCGATTACCAGACACCTGCGATAGCACTCATTGACTAAAGGACCGGTGATTTCGATCGATTTTTTTTCCTTTGAAATTACGCTTGCCTACTCACTCTAAGGGCAAAAGGGTTCTATACTCTAAGGGTTCTAGATGTTTCGAGCGGAAGCTGGCCGTCATCATCGACATAGACAGAAAGCCTCATATAAACGTTCTAACATGGTGTTTTGTTAACCCTGTTATTTCGCTGTGGCACGCGGTACGAAAGTCTCACCAGGGTATAGTTCTGGGCGAAATTTTGACCTTAAAAGGGTCTCGAATTCCTACTTGTGCCATCTCCGCAAGGGCAAGCAGGGCTCGGTAAAGTAGTGGTCCCGGCCGAAGCCGAAGTTTTCCCCATAACTCTCCAACATTGTGGGGCGTGATACATATAGCAAGATGGGCTTAAAGTATGAGCGTGCGTGCACAGTGGAATGCTCCACACAAACTCAATGTTTAGACTAATCTTTCCGGGGTCAGTGAATTGGTACCAGACTCGCTTGGGAAGATAAAAGCACTGACTTGCACATTTGCTGGCCAAGTCATTGTCTAGGCCGCATTACGCCCCTACGATTCTGAATGGAAGCCGAGTGCGGGGCGCATCCCACATACGGGATTGATTAATGTCAAAAATTTCATCCTTTCAACACAGCCAAGATAGGTCTGTGCAGCCTGCTTTGTCTGCAAGCGGAACAGTTTGAGTTGGTGAAATTGCGGTTTGGACTGAAATGAAATTATTGCAGCGTGGGTGCTTGAAGCTAGAGAATGTAAACTGCAATGGAGAGATGACGCTGCTTCCTCAAGTTCCGGTATTGCGACTGCCAAGGAATTGCAAAGCAGCATAGATGTCATGTTTGAAAACTCACATAAAACACATTTACTCAAAAATCGGAATTGCCCACCTCCTCATATTGCCCGGGAGCAGGGCCTGCGGATTTGGGGAGAAGATAACGACGACGAGACAATTTCGTGGGCTGCTCGTTTCAGGAACACTTCTAGGTTCCTCAATGTAAATTAACTAATTTTTTGGGAGATGACCAATCTAATCGGCCACAGCCTTCTTAGTGACTAACTGTAGCTACTATCACACAAAAGGATGACAAATGTTGCTGATTAACTGTCTGTCAATGTGTGATCACCCTCAGATGGCGGTTAAGGAAAAAAGGCTTTTCCGGAGTACAATCCCAATAAATAGCTCGAATATGAGAAGGAAAAAAAATCAAATTGGAGCTAGTAAACTGGAATGGCTCGAATCGGAAGGCAGAAGTTAACCTCTACTGACAATTACTACTCAATGGCAAGAAAAAAGTCAACCTCACTTTTGATATATCGCTATGTGATCAATATGCCCACAGAAGAGGTCGACCTAGGCCGATCCAACTGCACCATGGTAAAATCTTACATTTTCTGAATCACTCCAGTCTGATTCAATGCTCCCACCATTTATGGCGTCTACTATTTCATGCTACCACCTTCTCTTTGACTTCTTTGTGATACCCTGGAGGTATGTAGAAGTAGTCTACTTCTGAGTCCAACTTACCAACCTTACCTAATCGTTCGGATCGTAACATTGACCTGGATTATCAGAACATCAAAAGATAAGAGGATGGCATTTCTGCAGGCATGTAGGCATTTCTCGAAAATCTGGGCATTTCTTGCCTATTAACTAACTAGTTAGTGCTTCTATGCCGAACAGGTTTTTATGGTGGGACAATCATTCTGTCTGACGCCTCGACAAGGTCGTCGTTTTCAAAGGCTTGAAAGTGTGATAGATAGCAGTTCAAGAATTCGGAAAGCTATGAGACCTTCGGAAACGACGAGCTTGTCGGAGCATGAAAGAGAACACATCCATCTATAGAAACCTGTTCAGCTCAGAAGCATTGAAACTTTGATAACAGGTAATATTACTACAGTTGCTTGATAGTGCATAGCTACATAATCCTTTACGTTGGCTCGAAAAGAATCTTTAACCTCGGCCCTACCTAAGTTCTAGGACGTATTGATAAGGAAATTTGCCCTTATCGATTCGATCCTGTTGTAATAGCACCGCTTGCTAAGGAGACTACCGATTGAAGTATTTTTTTATAATTTTCCTTAAAGATATTCTCTGGCGTGGAAATTCCAGCAAAAACCCATGTTTGTCTGATCCCTTTCAAATTCATAATCTTCTGGACTCTGAAATCCTTAATCAATCATTTTTCTTACGAATTTGTTTGCGATGTACGATCGATTTCATTCCTGCCTATTTCGCTGTGACGTAAAGAACACATCTGTCTTTGTACTTATCCTTACACTATTCATCCAATGTTCGTTCACGCTGGAGTTTTCAGGCTTTACAAGGAAATTTACTCCTTTTTTATGTTCAAGATCATTTGCTTTAGTATAGGTCATGTAAATTAGGTTGTGGTGAAGTTTGTTTCTGCTGTGGAAAACCTTATTCAGTAGCATCCAAGGGACAAGTGCACCAACAACTTGTCAGAGGTTTTTTTTCTAAGTACTGTTGGAGGCGCACAGAACTTTTCGTTACGAGTTTTTGGGCGACCATGTGGTAGGTAGCTTCGGAAACACCCAGTTGGAAGCATGTGAGCGAAAGTAAGCCAAATCAACGATAACGAAGGCGTTCGCTTACTTTCTGTCCCAGAGATTCTGGAACAGTTCACAATCAATTGCGTGCAGATATGGGGCAGTTGGCAAAAGCTAAGAAAGTCGTGAAAAATCAACTACACAAAGAAATAAGGCGCTATCCTTGTACAGGACAGACTCAGTGTTTCATCCTCACGCATGAAAATCTTTTGATAAGCACGGTATCAAAAGTACTTTCGAAGGAAGGGCCTATACAAATAGGATTGATAATTTATCCTCCAATGAAGACGTTCAACAACCCGTTACAGCCTCACTTGCAAAGGAAAAGTGCTCAAACTATGTAGCTGATAGGGCCTGAGCTGTAGCTGAGTTAACTGCGTCAAATTGCACGATGTTTTCCCAAGTGGGTACTGGATTAAGCCATCCACTCGCTTGGAGGTCGCCTTTATAATATGTGCGTTCTTTCTTATACCGTAACGTTATGCTCCTCAACCACACTCGTCCAATTGTGCTTCTGTAATCAAGTATGCAGTACCTTTCAATTCCTCTCTGTTATCGTCTTTATTATCACCCATCAGAGCCGTCCATATTGTCTGGTATTTTCTATTTGTCTTGTCGAAATGACGGAATTCAGTACAAGAATGAGCTGGCTGTCGGATTTCGAGCAGAACGGCTTTGCTGTCATCGAAAATGTCTTCACAGCTGATGAGCTGACAGAAATGAAGAACGAAATCAATCGAATAATCAGCGAAATCGATTTGCGCGATCACCCAAAATGCGTATTTTCTACGCTTGATGAGAACAAAGTGCGGTCAGCCATTCGTTTCCAACAGCTTCAGCCTTGTCACACTGTGAGTTTTCAGCATCTTGTCGACGATTACTTCCTGAACAGTTCCGACAAGATCCGAGTGTTTTTCGAAGAAGGCGCGCTCGATAAGGACGGAAAACTTGTCACCGAAAAACATGAAGCCTTCAACAAAATTGGGCACGGTAGGGTATCTCATTGCATATTCTGTTGCATTTTCTGACCAAACAATGCAGGTCTTCACTTGGAGAACCCCGTCTTCAAGCGCATGTCTTTTCATCCGAAGATCAAGCAATTAGTAAAGGAAATACACTATGAAGATCCTAAAATCGTGCAGAGTATGTACATATTCAAGGTGAGTCTTATTTCTGATTTGTTGTCACCTGGCCCTGTTTTGATGTTTCTGTGTTTACGGAAAGGGCAACACTTAATTTCCTATACTCAAAAATTAGTTATCAAAAGAAACTGCTTCATAGCTTATGGATAAAGGTGTTAACTTTCACAAATGCTAACCTTAATAATCAGTTTCCATGTACTGAGCTGGCAGTGAGCTTCATATCGAAGTTTGCTAGTCATCTGTATACATACAGAATAATGAAGGTGGTGTAGTAACAAGTAGGACAAGATCCGAAGATAGAATCCCTGATCGATACCCACTCATAATCAAACCCTTTTATCCCATCGGGGTTTACTCTCTGGTACGAGATTCGTTTAGTAGAATGTAAGCATCAACTTTTTATTGCCTGTCCAATGCGAACCATTGTATAGGCCACATGCGCATTCAAAAAAAATCGCTACAATTTTGAATGAACGTCGTGCGACAGGGCGCATCCCAGGAAGAGGACTGCTTAGCGCAAGATATTCTCTCTTTTACCTATTGTATACGCAACCGTACAATATTCTGATTTCTTTGAAGGCGATCTGTTCATAATGGAAAGGGTTTCTGACAAATCCTACTAAGTTGAATCTGTGGTCCCCTAACATACAGTATGTGGCGCTGTTAGATAAAAACGATATAGGTAGGGCGTTATAAATATGCAAGCACTGTCTTATGTGTGCGCGTGGTCGAGCTTCTACGGCATTATAGAGGCCACCATTCACAAGTGAACCCATGTAGGAAGTTCGAACAGCCTGTCACCACCCATAGCGACAGTGCAAGGCATTTTCGGACAGTTTTGGCCTGATATAGTCAGCTCTTTGAGCGATAGCAACAACTAGAATCTCGTCCGAATATCCCTTTCATTTCGTTTCCGTCATGGTAATCTCGTACGACCTCTATCACTTTCGAGGAGCCTTGTTTTTCGAAAATCGGCTACTTTTCCCACTTCCTTAACCACCGATGCGCTATTCCCAATCAATACTTCCGCTTTTCGGCTTAGAACATCGTGAACTGTGTTTTGAATTCCCTAGGTTTGACATTTTCTTACATTTCCGAGTAGAATGTTTTTCCAATTCCAAAGGACCTGGCTTTTCAGCAGCCAAAGATTGGTGGCGCAGTCACTGATCATATCGATGCAACTTTCCTTTACGTAGAGCCTATTGACCATCTTATTGGTATTTGGATTGCTGTAGATGATGCCAACGAAGAAAACGGATGCCTGGCATTTATTCCAGGGAGTCACAAAAGTGTGTGAAAATATAATCGGTCTATAATCGGTATTCTACTCTAACATTTAGCTGATTTGGTTACAGGATCTTCCGTTGACTATCGCTTCAGGCGAACACACAAAACGGATGGCAGTGCCCTTTTGAAGTTTACCGGTGAACGGCCAACCTACGACCAGACGAAATTCGTGAATGTACCCATCAAAAAAGGTTTGTTTGAAGAATAATGGGGCGATTGAAACAGCGACAGGCGATTCAGCGTCATGTGTACTTCTACAACCACGGGTAATGGTGATCAACAACAAACTCAGGTCTAACAATGAGACCTTCAGCCGAGATCGCACCCACATCTCGTAGGGTCAAAATTTTGTTGTTGACAAAATCTTGCAAATTGTAAAACTTCCTGTTCTTCGCTGGATGATATGAAACGGGTATAGTGCCTCATAATCACTGCTGAATGGTGTTGTGGCAGGTGGCCCACTATCACACATGCATGGTCCGGGAAATGAATGATCGATATCCGCTAATCAACTTTACATCTCTCCGAAATCGATTGATCGACACCAAATTGGTCTGGAAGGATTACACAGCCACTTCTACTTCGACTGGCCACCCCCGCTCACCGCCTTGACCACAGACACATTCAAACCGCCGCTACTATTCTGAATGGAGGTTCTGTAAGGGGCGTAATCCACAGACAGGATTAATTACGCGTAGCACTGTAGAGATACAGTAGTAGAGAATACCTTTGATCAGAATTAATGCCAATTTATAAGTTTGACTCTACAAGGATCTTTTGGTTTTACGAAGACTTTTGCTTGGAGCAAATCTGTTTTGTTCTAGGATCCCTGATTGTCATCCATGGTCTCGTGGTTCATAAAAGTGATCCGAACATATCATCAAAAAGTCGGCATGCGTACACTCTTCATATTATGGAGGCCAAAAATACCAAATGGAGTGAGGACAACTGGTAGGTAACCTATTATCAGTTCTTAAAAGAAAGTACACTCTGTAACAATGGACTCGGTTATAGAAGGATCAATCGGGAGGACTGTGTTATGCTACTCAGATTTCTTACATATCGCTCAGAGAGACTGTCAACAAAAACGTCTCCATACTTTTTAGGTGTAGGGGATTGAGTGTTTGTAACTAGATCAGCGTATTTCGAGGAACTTCCGTATTTCGCCATTGGAATCATACCATCAATTAAAGTTGAACTTGGGCAAGCGATGTTGCTCCTCTAAATGCTCTTTCTTTAGCGGCCCGAACCCACAGCACAATACACAACGTTTCCTAGGTTTGCTATCGTTGGGTGCTGAGTGCTTTTCACGGGATCTCCTTCAAAGCGTGTCACAGTGTACACATATTTTACAGGCGGGGAATTAGGTTCAGTCGTACGTGATAGACCTGCGTAATAATCCACAAAATCCAACATCTTATTCGATGGGGGTATTAGTGCACTGGGTAAATGGTGATTCTCGAAATAGTTGCAATTTGAGCTACAAAATGGCTGGACTAGCTGTCTTGTTGGGAAAAAGCTCCTTGCGAGATATATCCATCTGATTGTCGCGAAATTCTCTGACCGGACATTCATAAGTGGTATTCCAGTGGGCGTAGAGCGTCAAAACATGGTAGGAGTACAGGCGGCAGGATGGGAACACCCATGGTGGGCGTTATTACTAAGCTCCGTCTGTAGTACTCAGGGCGGCGGTATGGGAACACTGAAGATAGGTGACAACTCTGACCATAATTTGGTATTGGTACGAACGGCAAATAATTGTTAATTTGGGCCTAGACCGTCAACTTTGGTAGAAGTACAAGCGACAGTATGAAGACACTGAAGATAGGTGGCAGAGCTAGATTACGCCCATAGGGGCGAGACCTGCGTGAAAGTTTTCTATGTGGGTACGAGGCGTTTAAATTCGGCGGGATCAAGCGCAGCGGTATGGAAACACTGGCGGTAAAAAAATTTGGTGTTGGTACGAACGGCAAGTTTAGGACAGTGATAGTAAGTGGTAGGGAGATGTAGGGGAGAGTGGGTAAATAAGCGTAATCCAAGTAAAATTGTGCAGTCAACTTGGAAAAAGAGGGGAGTTACCCAACTCGCACAAAAGTTGAGGGGGACTCTTATGCTTATGACGGGAAGGCGCTCAGGAAGTGTGTCAAGTGTATGGGTGCGTTCAGACAAGAATTTCTAATTCCTGATCTGCTCCACCAGAGCTTCCAACTGGAAGGCAGGTGGACGGCAGACTAACTTTAGACGAATAGGAGGAGAGCCCGGCGTTAGACGGGCGATCCGACTATGTTACACTAGCGCGTAAATAAGGCAGGAGATGGAAATTCGGTTCATTTCTCGCTTCAGCTTATGACCACTACCCTCCACGGTTTGGGACCCAATAAAGAGTCACGACTCCTCTCCGCCACGATATCATTTGCGACAAAAAGTATCTGACCTCCAATACTCTCGAACTCTCAACTAATCTTTGGAACTGGAATAAGTGATAAAAACTGTAATTTGTTCGCTGGAGGCAGGTAACAGGACGACAAAATTCGCTTTTGTTGTATGGATTGCGGCCGGAAAAGGGTTTCATTAGTTCACGCCGATTGTACGGTTGAGCTCCCAATAAGTGCTCCCGTCAATTATTGAATTGTTTTGTTGTTGTTTACAGAGAGATGTATGTTTCACGAGTGTACTTTTCAGGTTACAAGAGACCGAAGAGCGAAAATATCCGAAACTCTATGACTGACAGTGGATAGTGTTTATGCCAGTGGTCTATAAATAAAGTCCTATTTCATATGAGAGCGACAATGTTTCTTCGTTGTTCGAATGAAATTATTTGCACATATTTAGCGATGAAACATGACAGAGGAAACTGTGGTGAAGCTGAATTGACGCACAGGACCATCGCTCAAGTTTTGTGTCAGTATGAGAACGCTGCTGTGCAGCGAACAACCTCACCCAAAGAGGCATTCCGAAACTGGGTTTTGGGACGTTGGGTCCCTATATGAGAAGTCTGATGTTTTAGGAATATTCAAATCCCATCCCTTCAGGGAAAGTACTGGAAAAGTTCATGATTGAGGAAACTTCAAAAACCATACTACAGTGAGGAATTCACAAATGGAATGGCTTTATCAGAACGTTGGCGGTTTATCTCGGACTTTTTTCTCTGCTTCGAGCAAAATTAGTGATCAAATCATGACTGGAGACGGGGGATGGGGGGGGGGGGGGGGNGGGGGCGGTCGTATATGCACCACAAGGATCGACTGGAAGAAATAGTACCGGTGAACGATATTTGTGTACTTGCTTGCTGCCCTAGTACAAGAAGGATGCGTTTCGTTTGAGCCCTGACCGTGCTATCAGGTTAATTTCAAAAGAAGACAATCTCACTATAGCGGAAACGAAGAGGTCTTAAAAGGTAGGGTGAGGATGGGAATCAGAAAAGGGGAGTGAAAATGGCCTCAAACTAGGAGCATGAACGCGTTCCCTCGAAAAAATTCAAAGGACATTCTACAGCGAGAAAAGGCAAAGGGCAACAGACTGGCTTGCAAAAAGGTCGTCCTCTAGAACTATTAGGGATTCCGAAAGCTATAGACGACTTAAAGAAAACGGGGGTGAAAGCTTATGATAGCTGCAAACAAGACCGAGTATAAGGTCTAACAAAAGACAAGAATTTAGAGGAACTAGGCATTGGCTCAAGAACCACATAGCCTAAGGAAATCGTAGCGATTCTAAAAGACCGCCTCATCCTTTCTTATCGGAAAGGTTCACGACAGATGACACCTGCACATCTGAGAACAGCTACAAGGGCAGTATGCGAAAAGCATCGACCCTAAACCTAGATTCATTTTACTGGGAGAAACAGTTTCGTTGCTTTTTGCTAGGAGTGCTCTTAATTTCCTCTAACAGCGTAATGTTCTAGAATAACAATTTAACAATTTCTTCGATTATGTACGTGTTGCACATAATCGAAGACATTATTATTCTAGGACATGTTTGGTAGCTTTGCCAAGTACACTAGAAATGACGGGAGTTACAAAAGGTACCCATAAATGTGTAGCTGAAGACTGTTGTTTGCGCGTCCGCCCTTGCCCTTATACTGTAGAGGGAGGAACTGCAAGGAAAACTACTAAGAACATTGACTAGAAAGCAAGAAGTTTGAAAATTTCTATCATTCCAATAAAATGACGGTGTTGAGAACAGTCTGGCAATTGAACAGTTGACAATGGACTGGATTAGATGAGGGGATATTGGGGCAACCATGAAAGCCTCGCTTGTTCAGCAGAGGATGAGCATCGTAAAAACGCGGGCTGGAAGGACAGCAAGCAAACATAAGATGAGATGTAAGGAACCAATCGAGGCAAAAAATGTCGTTGACGGGAAGGAATTGTGACACAAGAACAAAAGACTCGCGATAGTGCGAGATTTACAGGGGGCAGGGAAAGAGGATTTGTAGTATGATCTGAAGGAGATATGAGCGAGTGCCGTTAGCCATCGAGTGACTCCGGTGTTGTCGTGCCGTGCGGACGACTTGAAGGACGACCTGGCGTGGCGCGCCCGTAGTCCCGCCGGCAAAGGCACAGTAAGCTGCAGGGATCTAGAGTATGTCACTTAGAAACTAGCCCACATGCGACATTTGCATCATCATTCGTCGCCGTCGTCATCGTCACAGCCGCCTGCCTTCGTCGTCTTATGCCAATCGACGTCAATGTCACCGACGCAGCATCCGATGGTTCTGTAGCACCACATTGTTGCCATCCACGAGTGGTGCCATCGCTGCGGAGTATGGAGCAAGCTAGAAACATCTGAATGAATGGTTGGCAGCAACGCAGGACTTGGAGCAGCACTGCCGGAAGGAGGTTGGGATGGCCTGGATGGGCCCGGATGAGCATTAGCCAGGATCGTACCCACTCCGTCGGTTGAGTGTGGTCATGTTTGTGTGTGCATTTTCATGCCTTTGTTCATAGTACCTTTTTCTGTCATAACATTTGTATTTACTCGCATTTAACTCCTTTTTCTCTCTTTGCGTAGTTTACCATAATCAGTATATATCGTAATGTGTGCTGTTAGTACGTAGAGCGGTGGTAACGTCCATATATATATATATATATATATATATATATATATATATATATCCTACCAAGTCCGTGTGGCGGTTGAATTCGAGCATGGGGAGAAGACCCTGGTTGCCTAGCTCACGCCGCTGGGGGCGCCCTGACGAGCAACCATCGATGCGGATCGGCCTCGGCGGGACGCTTCCTAAGGCGCGACATGGCGCATCGGAATGGGGTTCAACATAGGGGGAACCCACGTTGGGCCTTAGTGATCGAGCCCGTTCATGCTCGCCTTCACCGCTCGGCCTCCGGGGCAGAGGACGCGCGGAAGGTTAGTAAGTGCTAACCGGTCCCCGCGTACGTCGGTCGCCATGGGGATTCGCCCCTCCTTCATGTGAAGCCTTAGCCCTAACCTGCGTCGGCTTGAGTGATACAATTCCGGCGTGGAGACAGCGTGTATTCGTTGGGCTATAGGTTTTCTCGCGGGGTGAAGGAAGCGGTTGTTTACCATCCCTCCTGGAGATTCACATTACTCCTCGTATCAGGCCAAATGACCTATGCGTGGATCAGAGGGTACCGGTTGTTATCCATGCTAATCCGTCCCGTGAGCAGCCTACTACTATACTTTGGGGTCCCTTGTTGCTCATACGTCATCTTGTAGGACGTCTGGTTGGTTGTCATCATCGGATCGCCTAGTCAGCGCCGCAATTGGCACTTCCGCACACAGCCATAGGGAGCTATCTGCCATTACTTTCCCTCCGGCTCAGCGCACATCCGTTGTGGTCCCTTTTTAGATTGGGTACGGCAGCACCTGCCAAGTGATCAGTATGTACTCAATCGACGCATCCAAGCTGAATTTGTCCAAGGCGATAACAGCATGGGAGTGTGAAGGGTGAGGTCCCTCCTTCGGCGTTGGAATCCA